GGAAGGCAGCGGCAGACGGTTTAGTGCAAGTTTATGGGCTCCTCTGTCGTCCTCCCGGGCGACTGCCGAGCTGCGATTGCACCGAGTGGAGATGCACCGGGGTGTCTGTCCCGGGCTGGGTCAGCAGCTCTGGGGAGCCCTTGCGTTGCTCAGTTCCCAGGTTGTCATCAGCAAACGGTCAGGAAGGGATAGAGGGCTCCAGTGTGTGCCTGTCTGGCGTAAGGTGAGCAGGTCTTGGTGATCAGGGAGATCGTTAGCCAGGAAACTGGTTTCTGCGTTGAGTTGAGCAGGGGAAGCTGTCTTTTTAGGGAACTAGGTGGGATCGGGTCACCCTACATCAAGGTGGCTTCCGTTAGATTGCTGCAGGTCTCCTCCTGGCAGGTTCTCTGGTTTGCCCAGGCCTGACCTGCATGGGATGGTGGTCACGGAGAGCCGCCTTGGGGACTTCGGATCAGGTTTTCTGCTCACCTCCAAAACCTGTTCACCTCTGAGACTGTGACAGCTGAGAGAAAGAAAAATAGGAGCTCCTGAGATCGAGTTGCTTTGCATCTCTCTGCCTCTCTGTAACGGGGAGATAAATGTTTATTGCCAGGGGATTGACAGCACCCTGTGATTGCAGGGGGATTTACTGGACCAGGATGAGGAGGCTCGCTGGAGCCTGCCTGATAGCACCAGCTCCCGTGGATGGAAGCACCCACGGGCCAACATGGTAAGGCTTGCACCTGGCCCTGCGGCAGCTGGGGGGGAGAAAGAGGAGTTGTCTTCTTTCCAGATGTGGGGAGAGCCAGGGTGCAGCCTTGTGCACAGGGAGCAGCCCCAGCAAGCTGTAGTCTGGGGACCGGGAGGGGGGGGTGTGTGTGAGATGAACCTTGTGTTTTCTGATAACCACATGATGTGTAAGGTGGTGGCTTAAGTGCTTCCTCAGGGGGTGAGAGGGGCTGTCCCCATGAGTGGGACCGAATGGCATTCCCATCCTTGGAGGCTAACAGGAGAGCATGCCGGCAGCGTTCAGGCCTTAGCATCCCCCCTTCTCTCCCACACCAGGGCTGCCGCTCAGCACCTGACTGGGATGGGCACATACTTTCTTAAGCAAGGAAGGCTGCGGATTACAGCTTAGGGTGCTCTTAGCCTCTCTACCTGGTCCTAGGATTTTGCAGGACATTGTGACCTCCCTGGAGGCAGAGGTATTCTGGAGAGACAGGTTCATCTGGGGATCCATAAGAAGACCCAGTGAAGAACAAGATCATTAGATTTCCCTCTGAGAGGAGTCCCCCTGTGCTGTTTGGTTTTGGTGGTTTTGCTTTTCCCTCATTAACTCAGTTTTGGTGGTTAGAAACCCTCTGTCTTCATGAGTCTTCTCAGCTACTTCTTGCTAATTGAATTCCCTTTTTTTTCCTTGCTCTTTCTGTTGTCTCTTCATGCCTGCAGTTCCCCATCTGTGGGCAGACACACACGCCCATGTGCTTTCCTCTAGACTGCAGGCTTGAGTTTTGCTGGCATATGTGGAACATGGGTTAACATACTCTGGGGTACCTCTGAGAACACTTCCAATTGGGCATGAGCATTGTGGGGCTTTCCTTGGGTGCTGGACGCTCAGGCAACGGGTGTTCAGCCCTGTCTGAGCTCTAAAACCCTGGGCTGTCCAGCCTGTACCTTAGCTCTGATGATACTTGGTGTGTTCACTTCCACAGCTGTTCATAAACATCCGTTACGTGGTGTCATTCTTCCATGTCTCTGCACCCAGGGTGTTAAACAACAGGGGATGGAGGTGGCGTATGACAGACTTGTCTTTCCCTCCAACTCCTGCAACAAGGCAGGCTTTCAGAGGCCTAGAGACCTGCGCTCCTCCCGCTCAGCGGTCCCAGGGCGGGCGTGGGAAGTACCGCACAGGTACGGCGAGGAAGGCAGCACCGTGCAGGGATCGCAGCCTCCTCGAGCGGGCGGTGGGGTTTTGGAACGTAGGGCAGCTGAGGCTGGTGCCTGTGTTGTAGCAGTCCCCGTTTCGCGCCTGGAAGTTCCTCTGTGGGCTTGGAGCCCATAGTGTCCATGTTCTTTTTTAATGATCTATATTTGGTGCAGGATTTGCAGCTCATTTTGTTCTGAAATACGCTAAGGAAAAGTGAGAGTAGCCATTGAGCCAGTGCCAGGGGACAGAATTTTTGTGGTGGTTTTTTTTTTTTTTCTTTTTTTGGAGGCAAAAGCAAAAACTGCAGATCCGAATCAGATGCTCAGAGGGGCAGCACAGGGTAAAGCGATTGCTGAACCATTGCATGGAGCCACTGAATATGCGGCGTGGACAGCCCCGAATGTTCAGTTCGACCTTTATTCCCGGTGTGAGTTTTTCTGTTTGGTGGTTGTTGTTAACTTCAGTACAGCTCCTGACAGAGTAAAGGTGGACTTTGAGGGCTTATGGGAACACTTGAAAACCAGCTGAGAGGGTGGTTTTTTGCTTCTTGTCTAGAACCATTGCATGGAGCCACTGAATATGCGGCGTGGACAGCCCCGAATGTTCAGTTCGACCTTTATTCCCGGTGTGAGTTTTTCTGTTTGGTGGTTGTTGTTAACTTCAGTACAGCTCCTGACAGAGTAAAGGTGGACTTTGAGGGCTTATGGGAACACTTGAAAACCAGCTGAGAGGGTGGTTTTTTGCTTCTTGTCTAGTAGGAAAAGAACAATAAACGCTGACCACTTCTTTCATTCAGCTGGAGAAGCTTGGTCACCTTGTGCTATTTTCCTGTGAGATGGCTTCTTGTGTTAGGTTTTTGGAGACATCCCTCCCGATCAAGGCTTTTGTTTCTTGTACTGTTACCATTTCACAGTCACTGCAGTCTCTACAGAGCTTGGCAGAAGGGCAGGGAAATGGGGCCATCTAACGCAAACCTCCTCCGGTCCCGTCCTCACATGTGCAGCTTGCGGGAGAAGCACCACGGTGGTGCGATGGCTTTCTGGTAGTGAGCGGAAGATGGTGTCTGTTACTTCTGGCCAGTTGTGGTCCTGTTGCACGAGGCTCCCTCACCAATAGAAAAATTGACAGCCCTCAGCTGAGAGAACTTACTTGAGAAATAGGCCAGCGTTGTAGGAAATGGCTTGCCCTGACCTGGAGCCGTGTGGCTCTCTCCAGGCGTGCAGGAAAGCCTGTAGACCGTCTCCCCACAGACCAGCCTCCTCTGGGGGAGATGAATGTCTTCCCCCGAGTCCTGCCCTGTCGTAAATCTCTCTCTAGCATTCACTGTGCACTGCTGGGAGTTCTTCAGGCTGTATTTCTTTCCTCATTAATTTGTCCTGTCGGATTTACCTGTCTCAGCAGCTCAAATTAACACTTGGCGCCTTAATAAGAAAGAGCGTTAAAACTGATGTGATGAAGCCGGTCTTCCATAAATCCAGATGTTGCTGTCGTTTGTGGGTTCTGATCCTCCACAACCTGATGTAACCAAGAAGCACTCTGTGGATGGGAAGGGAAGAAACATCAGCTTTCCGCTGGCTTGAAGCATCTGTTTCCAAACTGAACGGTTCCTGAGACTCTGAACTGGATTCCTGGCAGGGCAGCATTTACAGCCAGTTTCTCTTTTGCAGAAATACACCACCTTTAAAGAAAACCAGATGACCTTCTGTACCCTGATCATTCCTCACTGGTTTTGGAGTGCCAGTCTGGATGGAGGTGGATTAGTGCTGTTTGTCGTGTAGCTGCCACACAGGGGTGACTGAGCCAACGTGCAGGTTTCAGTACGTACACAGGCAGTCACGTGCCAAATCACCGTGCGGTGATGCAGATGTGCCCAGCGCTTTCCACTGAACTTGTTCAAACACAGAATAAAGAGGTGTTCTGGAGCTTGCCAGTTGTTAATTACCACACAGCAGGCTGCCCTGAGATGCAGAAGGCTCTTCTCTTCCAACTTGCTTGAGAATCTCAGATCTTAGCAGCGTGACAGGGAGAGGTAAAAACCCATGGGGAAGGTAGACCTCTCTTCTGCAGCAGCTTTGTCTTTCCGAGGAGAGTGCGAAGAGCTCTCTTAGTAATCCAGTGCCAGTAAGGCAAGGATGATGGGAAGCAAGGGGGCAGGAGGTGACCTGGGGCATCCCAGGGATCCGTGACAATTCCCCAGGAGCAAAGCCCTGCTTTTGTGTGAAGGGAGGCCAGGAGAAGATACCAGAGTCTGCCTGGAGCATGGATAGCACTGACAATGGGGGTTATTGCTGCCTTGAGACAGCGAGGACACATGAGGAAGCAGAGCTAGGAGGTGCTGTGGAGGTCCTGCAGGCATCTTTAGGCTCTGAGTGACTTTGCCCACTAGAAACCCGCAGGGAGGGAGCTGCGTGGCTCCAAAGACTCGTCTTGGCGTTTAACTGCTTCCTTCGCCCGAGGACTCTGACGATGGCAGGAGCCACAGCAGCAGTTCGTACAGTCCTCGTTGGCTGGAGGCATCCCCAGCACTTAGGGCAGGCTCCAGCGTGAGCAACTTGCCCTCTCGCGCCCTGCTGCAGCGCGTACCTCCTCCCTGCCTCGCTCTGCCCGGCGGGCCTCTGCTCAGCTCTCTCCTTAATCCCGCCGAGCGCCTGCGCCGCCGAGGGCTCTGCCAGGAGCGCGGCAGAGCCGGCGAGGCAGGGTTATGTAAACGGCTTTGCCGCTAAGATCTGGGTAATTGATTACGGAAAGGAGGAAACCGTTTTAGCAGATCTGCGTGTTCACCCGCCTCCTCCTACAGCCCGGGGAAGGCGAGTCTTTCCATCAGGTCCTCGCAGCGATAGGGCAGCCAGCACAAACTGCACGAGCTGTGTTCTTGGTGGGGCTGGTGCTGCTCTGCATAAAACTTCCAGGGTGTCAGTGTACCGCTGGTACAGAAATACCTGGGGTTTGCAGCACGTCGTGTGCCTGCGATGCAGCTCTTCTGATGAGAGGCCTGACCTCTACCCTCCTCCAAAATGTCTGTGAACACGTGTCGTCCTTTTTGCAGAAGTATTCAAGATTAGTCTTTCTGGAATCTGAAAGCTCTAGTGGAAATAGATGTTCTCCTACGCCTGGCAGATGTCTGAGCCAGTCTCTGCACAAAACACTGGGGAGGTGATACAGCAATTACAAGCCGGTGCTAAGGATTTTATTTTCCGTGACCAATAATGGGGGGAAGGTGTCTTTGAATTTTGGGCCCTCCTAATGTTTCAGGTGGATGACCAGACTTGCTTTGATTTCTGAAAAACCTTGACTTCAATGATTTAAGTCAAGAAAGGATGTTAGAGCAGACGTGAGGCCACGTTTGTCTTGCATCCCACTCCCTCTCCTTCCTCTCCCCTTGCAGGTTGTGTTGTGTCTTCTGGAGAATGCAGCAGTCGTCACGGCTCACGAAAAAGGCCCAGAGTCAGCTTCTTGTGGGCATTTGGACAATTCTTTGACTCTGATGCTGGACTTTGCCCACTTGCCGGGATTATTACTCTTCTGATCAGTGTCATAACCTTCTCAGCGGGCCAGGGCTCTTCAGATTAGCTCTTTCAGCCTCTCCACGCTATGTGCCTGAGCCGTGGCCTCGCTGAGGGCCGGCGGGCGCTTGTTCAGAAATTCGGCTGGGCATCTCCTAACTCAGCTGCAGGCTGCTGTTGCCTGGGTATCTTGTTTCAGATGCCACCGCCACCAAAGACCAAAGGATCGCTTTGGGCGCTGTGCTTCTTAGTGAGCCCGTGTGCAGGGCTGGCAAGAGAGGCCGGTGTGTGGTGCTGCGCAGAAGCAGGTGGCCGGACTGAGACAAGAGCTGTTTTCATAGGAAATAAGGAAGTTTCAAGGAAATAAGACTAAAACCTTTGGCTCTGTCCTGGCTCAGGGGCGCTGGTGGTGTAATAGCTCTTCTGGCATCAGGCTTGTTTGCAAGTGGGCAGATTCTTTCTTACAAATCAACTGTGCTTAGGAATAGGGACACCAAAATGACCCGACTAGGAGGGCAGCTTGCAAGGGTGTTCGACTTGAGTCCGCCTCCCGCCACCCACCACCCTATAAAATCCTTTCGATAACATCTTTGTAAGAAGCAGTTGGAGCTGTTCCTCCTCTGCTCGTAGTGGTTGATCAGAACCTAAACGCCATTTGTAGTGGGATACTGGATTCTTGTAAGAGCCCGCGGTGGCTGCGTGTGAATTCCCCGGCATTGCCGACCTCGGTCAGCTAAACAGCAGCTCTGGGATGCCGCTTTGAGAGGGGTTTGGCTTGTGTCCGGAGCACCAGTCATTACCACCTTCCTGTAAACCCTCCTTGGCTGCCACGACGCGCCCGGCTCAGGGCAGAGCGTGACCCTCCCGGCCCAGATAGTTTTCCACCTTCTTCCAAGCAGTGAGGCCTGGAGGTTTCCAGCGCGGTGGTGAACGTGCCTCTCCTCGGCCATTCAAGGCTCAGCCTACACTCTTGCCAGAGCTGTGCCGAGCACGCTGCCAGGCTTAGGAAGGAGGTAGCAGGTAGGCTGGCCTCAGGGGCTGTGTTGGCAGCTTTGCTTTGTGTTGGTAAGAGACGGCTCGCCTACAGAGCGCCTGTTGTGGGCTGCCAGCTGGCGGCCTCTTCCCAGCAGCGGCACTGCTGGTCCTGTGTCGCTGGCGGAAAACAAGGGGCCTCGTGCTGAAAGAGCAGAGAGGGCAAAGAAGCCGATGGAAGCGGAGCTGCTCTGGAGCAAGTCCTTAAAGGCGGCTTGAGCTGTTTGTGATCCCAAAGCCTTACACTGTGTACCTTGGTGGGCTAAGCTTCTGCAGCCTCCTGTAATTAGGCACCGCTTAATCACATGACCCAGCAAAGCCAGCTATGCCTCTAATCCAAAGTCACTCACCCATCGGAGAGGTTCTTGGCCCATTTTGCTAAGGTGGGCGGGTGAGAAGCACTGTGTAACGGGAAATCCTCTCCCAGCGCTTTCCCCAGAGTCAGAGTCTTGGGGGTTGGTGGGGAAAGGGAAGGGTTTGTAGCATTTTCTGAGTGCCCAGCTTGAATCTCATGGCAAAGCCTGTGTCCTCTGAAGGTGCTGCAGCCTGAGAGCTCTTGTCCTTTTCAGAATCAGTTAGTTCCCCAAAATCACAAACAGGTTTTGAAAACTGTGGCCCAGAATCAAATTTGCTCTCTCATAATCTAACTGAACTTGTCAAGATCCCAGTGAGCTTGGCAAAAATTTGAGGGTTTGTTTTTTCTGATTCAGCTCCCAAATTGAGTTTGGGGTGGCTGATCTGTGCTGGAGAAAAGGCTGAATGAAGCATTCAGGTCTGAATCCAGCCCTCCCCTGGCTGTCCAGGCTACCTCTCAAGGAGATGGCTATATAAAAATAGCCAAACAGTTTCTCCAGAGTCTACTTTGGCTTTACAGCGCCACGAATGATAATCCTGTGCATGACATCATTACTGCCCGATATTAATCCTTGCAGAGCTGCCTGCCCCCTGTTCCCGGCAGGGGCAGGGGCTTCTGCGCCTGCCCAGCGTTACGTGGGGAGAGTTACCCACCCACGTGGCTCCGGTTTTTGTGCGGGGATGAAGAAAACCAGAACCTGATGTTTCGTGTCTGGACTTGACCAAATCCGCAGCCGCTTCCTGAGCCCTGCACGAGGTGCAGCTGTACGAGCACTGGCGGTTACTACGGGTTTGCTTTGGAGAGGGACCGGAGAGCGGTTGTGGAGGAGGAGTGGAAGTGCCAGGCTCACCCCTGAAGTGCCTCCGGTTTGCTCTGCAGCCTCGGCCGCGTTACCCGCGTGCTGGGAGGTGACACCCTCTTCCCTGGGTGCCTTTCTTTCGGGTTACTTCGACCCAACTAAAGCCCTCTCCCTACTTCTCCTGGTTTAGAACCAAATACAGCGACAGCCTAACCATTTCTCTTCTCGGCTTCATCCCATCGCTCCTCCCTTTGCGCTGGCACACGGGTTGAACTCTCTCCCCACCCTTGGCTCCTCCGCTGTCCCCGTGCCAGGCACTTCGCCCGCTCGCCGAAGATGCCAAATTGCTTTTCCTGGCTCCCCGCTCCCACGTCTTACCAACCGCCTCTCCAGCGCGGTCCGTATTTCTCTGGTCCCGAACTGCTTCGTCCGGAGCTCCTCCAGGGACGCGGCGGCAGGGCCGTGCTCCTCGGCTCAGGCTGTGTCGGAGCTGGGGGTGCCTCGTGCTAGTGAGGAGAGAGCGGGGGGGCTTCGGGGGTTCGACTACCCGTTGCCATCGCAGAGGATCTGTACGGCAGGGACTATTTCTGTGCGTCCCATTTGGTATTGTTCTTGAGTAATGCACGTAATACTGATACACATGATATGGATAAACATACATGTCTATAAAATAGATGAAAGTCCCTGGGACTTCTGTATATATATATATATGTATACAAATAATTTTTATATAGCACATTATATGTAGATAAAATATAGTGTCATATATATTTATATTACATGTAGTGATATATATCTTATAGTACTATTTATTAGATATAATGTGTATTTTTATAATAATAAAGAGTATACATAGAGTATATATAGTGTTCGATATTTTGCAAAGTCCCAGGGGCATTTTATATTTATATTTATTTGTATACAATCTAATTTTTAATAATCAATATGACTTTACATCTATTTTATATGTGCATATATTACCTATATAGAAATATATGGATGAATTCTATATAATGTATAAAATGTTACATATTGCATTGATATAGAATATATATTACAGAAAAACATTTCAAAGCCCCTATATATACACAATATGCATACCTGGTTACAACAGTATGTATTTTATATACAGCAATATGTAATAGGTAGCTTATTAGTACAGTACAGTACGCGATACATCATTTAATCCATGTGTGTATTCTGTATAATCCACGCAGAATACATATAGCGAGAGACACTCTGTACGTCTGGGGCTTTGCGAAGGGGCTGCACCGTCCGGCCGTGCTGTGCCCTCCCCGCCAGCGCTGCGGTCGCACCAGCACCGTCCTTCATCCCCAAGACGCAGCGCTGGGGCGAGGCTGGTGCCGCCGGCGCTTTTTCACAGGCCAGGCCCGGCCCGCACTGCTGCCCAGCTCCCGCCCTGGGATCCGACGTGCCCGCCATGAGGACAGCCAGAGCCCTGGAAGTGCCTTTAGCTCCTGTTTCAGCCGTAGCGGGGCTGCACCGGGGTGATGCTGGGGGGGAACAGCACCACCTCGAAATACGATTTGTCTGAACCTCCGGGGAGGAGGAACCTTTGACTGGCAAGTGAAATACTTGCTCTATTCCAACAAAAAACCCCAAAACAAACAAACAAAGACCCTCAGACATTTCAGCCCAGTCTCTCAGGAGAGCTCGTACATTTCTGGCTGAGCTTGTCCCATTCCAGTCCAGACAACCTCCCCCGTTGCCTGCCAGCACTGCCGCCTGGTGCCCCGCTCCTCACAGAAACAGCCTGCGGGCCCAAGGCATCGATACAACAGCTACAAGAGGCCCCGTTTGTGGTTCCTGGAACTGGGTGGTTTTCACAAGAATTCGCTCTGGAGGCAGCGCTGGCAGAGCAGCCACCGTGGTGGGGCTGCGGAGCTGATGCGGGGCACCGAGGGAGCCTTTCTTCCTCCCAACTGCTCAGCTAGGACGGACGGGTTCGGCTTGAGCTGAGCAGGGTTTCCAGCCCTCCTTCTGTCAGGGAAAGCCAAAGAGGCACCCTCTCTTGTGGTACTAAAGCTAGGGGTTTTATACAAATTCTGTTTATGGTCTTGTCCTAGAGGCAGGTCCTGGTGCGAGGAAAGGAAGTGCCATTCCTTTCAGCAGCTTTGGGTGCAGGAGGGTCTGGACGAGTGTCAGTGCCATACGCTGAAGAAGGGTTTAACGAATCCTGACTGATTTCTGTGCGCCTTGAGCTTTTCCTTCCATTCCCATCTTCCAACAGCCAGGTTCACAGCACGCTGCCGAGCAAACGTTCCTGTTCCACCAGCTGGTATTGATAAACCACAAACCCTTGGGCATTTTCTGCCTTTGTTGGTTTTTTTCCGAGGATTATTTGGGATGCAGTAAGGTAGATTTTTAACTGATATATTTCGCATACCGGAGCCGACACTTCCAAGTAATACAGACCAATGACACACGTCTGGTCACGTCCTCGCGCTGGCAGCACTTCTGCTTTGCCCTGGGTGCCTGCAACTGTAGAGAGAGCGAAGAAGAGATTATTTCTGACTGGCCTGGACGTGCTGGCCTGGTGCTTAGTGTGACAGACTGACCCACTTGGGAGACACACGGAAACTATTGCCATCACCTGCAACGAGGACGTTGGAGCAGTTTGGACATGAAAAAAGGAAGAGGAGCTTTGTGCTCTGTCACTTGTTGAAGAGCCTCTCCCTCCTTCCTCAGTGACTGGCAGCCAGCAGGGCTGCACAGAGAGTGCTTAGCCCTGCACCACCGGGGAGATGTGGGGTGGCGAGGTTGATGAGTTTGGGGGTTTTGAGCCTGCTGGCGGTCGCTGCACCAGCTGCTTTGCTGAAGGGGAGCGTGGTGCCACGGGCAGGACTGCTCGGCTTCGGGCTGCTTGTTTGGAGGAGCACACGAGCGGCCGAGGTGCCCAGGCAGGGAGTCGTTTCGTGCCGTTCTACAGGCAGGGGGACGTGGCATCTGCTGACCCCCGGGGTCTTTTCAGTTCCAGGGCGGCGTGTGGTCCCTCAGCACGGTGCTGTGCGATGCCCTGATGACCATGGACGTGATGCTGTGCACGGCCTCCATCTTCAACCTCTGTGCTATCAGCGTGGATCGGTAAGTACCTTCCTCCTCCTCGTGCCAGAGGAGGGAGCATCAAGCTGGTTCCACACGCGCCCTTGCAAGGGAGGCCGGATCCTGTTCTCCCCTGAGGAGGGTGTTCTGCCCCACCATCCTCCCCCATCACCAGCTTGGTGCCCCACCAGTACCCTCGTGGTGGCCAAGCTGAAAGCCCACTTGTGTGATGAGGCCCGAGCTGTCCCTTTGGGTGCTTTTGCAGGGGTGGGGGGAGGCTGGTTGTAGCCCAGGCCTTGTCTGTGTCGGTAAGTTAGTGGGGGGGAAGGACAGTGACAAACAGCTTTGGGACCACTCGCTTGTGTTACCAGTGGTGACAGCACCGGGCCAGGACTGACTCACCCGGGGCTGTATTGGCAGGTTCATCGCTGTTTCAGTCCCACTGAACTACAACCGGCGACAGATCGACCTGCGGCAGTTGATCCTTATATCCACCACCTGGATATTCGCCTTTGCTGTAGCATCCCCCGTCATTTTTGGCCTCAACAACGTCCCAAACCGGGACCCCAGCTTGTGTCAGCTGGAGGATGACAACTACATCGTGTACTCCTCCATCTGCTCCTTCTTCATCCCTTGCCCCGTCATGCTGGTGCTGTACTGCGCCATGTTCCAAGGACTCAAGCGTTGGGAAGAAGCCAGGAAGGCCAAGCTGAGAGGCAGCATCTACGGGGCCAACAGGAAGCTGTACCACCCCTCGACCTTTATGGAGAGACAGCAGACCGGCCTGGAGCCACAGGAGTGCAACCCTTACGCCCGCTCGGACCACCCCGGGGACTATGGGGTGAACAATGGGATCCAGACTGTCTCCTACCCACACCTCAAGTACCCACCACCCGGGC